AGCTTGGTCTATTTGTGATACTACCAACAATGGGAATCAGGAGCTGTCCTTAAAGCCTTGGCTGGAAACTATTCCTCATATTGGACTGCCTTGCCAAGCCTTAATTCAAGGGGAGGTACTTCGTCTTTAGGAAACTTGATATGCCATGCTGTGTTGATACCCATGGGAGGCCTGCCCCTTTCTGAACAGAAACAGAGGAGGAGTGGATTGAAGGGAGATAGGTGGAGGGTGGGGAGTGGGAGGAGAGGAGGAAGGGGGAACTGCAGTCAGGATGTAAAACAATGAGTTAATTAAATAAAAAAAAATGCCTATAGAGTAAAACATGAAATGAAGATTTTAGAATAGTATTATTTCAGCTTTAATTTAGTTAAATAGAGAGAAGAAATTGGTTTACAGGCTATCAGGCAACCTTGTAGACTTACTTCTTATTGGCTATAGAATTAGGGCTTGCTCTAGCTAGGACAATCTTGGGAACTGTGGACTCAGGTCTCACACATTAGGCATGTTAGATGAAGATGGATAACACACAGCAGCTTCTGTCAGCTTTCACTTTCTAGCCACGATGTTCAGGATCCCTGACTCTCAGTTAAGTCTCATTTCTATCTACCACTTCTTTTTGCTAAGTAGCAAGGCTGTATGCCTTAGTTCACCTAAATCCAAGTTCAAAAGGAATTTCTGTTATATTTTATCCTTATAATAATCATGCTTCACAAAATGTCTATCTGTTGAGATTATTTCTAGAAATGTTATGATGTCTCTGAATGAAACATCTAAAGTTTTTTGTATATATCAAGCTATGTTATAATAAACATAGAAGTTGCCAAACCTAAAAAAAGAACATGAAAGTGCCAATGCTCAGAAGGTTTCTCTTAGCAATCCTGAGAGAGATCACAATTTATTTATTTCAAACCAAGAATTCTTTATCCTAGAAACTAGGCAAATGACAGTTTGCTTCAGACAATTTTAACTATCAAGTACTACAGACTAGCATTATTGTTTTGTGTGTATGTGAAAGGCGATAGAAATACTCAGTCTGGAACCTTCAGCTGGAGAAGACTGGAGATCTAGAGTAGAACAGATCCAGATTCAGAAAACGCAAGGGAACGAAATTGTAGATGTGTCTTCTTTCCTCTCGCCGTGTGTGTGTCTCACCTCTCTTTATGTTTTTTTTTTTTTATTTTGTTTTGTTTTGTAATTAATTTTTATTAGTTCAAATTAGGAACAAGCTTGCTTCACATGTCAATCCCTTCTCCCTCCCCTCCCCCAACCCCCCCAAAGTCCCTTCTTACACCAGGATTGCATCTTCCTGATGATTCATGGTACTTTTCATGTGATTACTGCTCACTTGTGAATATATACTTTTGATTCTAAATATCTTTCACATTTTTAAACGGGGTGTTTGTCTTTCTTGCCACAGTCTAGACACCAGTCCTTCGTCAGACACTGGCCTTCATGGTGTCATTTGATGAGCCGAAGTTTTGCAATTTTATTGGTTTCTATGACTTATCGTCTTTGCTAAAAACCTTATAGCTTTAATGTTTAGGCACAGCTCATTTATTTCTTCTTTCTTTCTTTCTTTCTTTCTTTCTTTCTTTCTTTCTTTCTTTCTTTCTTTCTTTTTTTTTTTGGTTTTTC